CCCAGTGGCTTCAGAAATAAACTTTTTAGAAGAACTCAATGCTGGCTGCAAGAGAAACAGATATTCTAGCGAACAAACTTGAGAGTCATACGTCTCAGACAGCCGCTGAAGTCATCGTTTTTGGTGGTGGCTGTGGTGGTGGTGGTTGTTAAGGGTGGTCAAGTCAGTTCTGACTCATAATGACTCTTTGTACAGTTTCCCAAGGAGTGGCTGGTGAGCTTGAACCGCCGACCTTCCAGTTCAAACTGACTTTGCAGTCTAGCGCATTAACCCGCAGCGTCATACCAGGACTCCCCTTTTTGGTAGTTCAGAGGTGAAATTATTTCTGGACAGATGGTTGTCTCTCCCAGAAATGTTTCAACCTTACTTGCTATATATGATAACCCATTTCATTTTTTTTTAAATCACCCTGAACATTAAAGAATTCTTTCCTTTATTCAACTCACGTGTCTTGGGCCTTAATATATGCCAATTTCCTCTTACTGGGCCTTCTCTGGACAAGGAGAAGAGCTGGTCAGCATCTTCCAATACAACAGCCTTTCATCAGCCCACTCTTCAGTCACCTTGTCTTCCGGCTAAACAATTCCACTTCCCTTAACCTTTCCTCACAGGATTGATTCTCCATCCTTTCAATCATTCTGGTTGGTCTTTTCCTGGACGGTCTCCAGAGGACCTTTGTTAATTCCTTTCTTGTAGTTTTGAGAAGTCATTTTTCTCTCAGAAAATCTGAGCTCTTCTCTCGTTTTTGGATGCAGTCAGTTCTGACTTCACCGCCTTCTCGAGTGGGTATATGTTGATAGATTGGGGTGATTTTTTCTTTATAGCCTCTCTAAGCTGTCTTCAAATGTAGGTCACATTCAGACAGAGCAAACAATCCAGTTTTCTTACTTTTTCTGTCATTTATTGCCTTTTTCCCTTCACTGGAAATGAAGAAACAATAGTAGGAGGGAAGAACAATCGGAGGGAAGACTGATTCTAGATAAGTAAACTGACACCATTTGAGTTGTTAAGCAAAGAGAAATTAAAAGTAGATCGTTACAGTAGTGAATAATTGCTATTAGGACTGACTGTGAGGGTCGGAAATGTAGAGATAGATGTTTTTTTGACAAAAGGAGGGGAGTGATTAATTTTGCAGCCCAGGAGTCGGAGGTCCCTCATACCATCAGGTGAGAAGAGCAGAGAGCAGGACCCTACCCAGAGAGGCAGTGACACCAGGGATGGAGACAGAGACAATGACGTGGACAGATGGAGCACCTGGGGACATTAGACTCAGGGAGGGAGAAGGGCCGTGTGCTGATGGCCGGCTGAGGGGGCAGGCCTGTGTAGTGTACCCTTTGGTTATTTGATGATGCATGGAGGGTATTATAATCATTGCAATGAAACGAAATACAACAGAATTAATGTAAAACGGATTTTCTCCCATGTAAACCCACATAATTCACAATAAAAACGTAAAAAAAAAAGAATAGATCATTACAAGTAACAAAGGAGAACCATGAAGTAATACAGGAGTTACCTCAGCTTTTAAGCTGTTGGAGAGACACCCCTGGTTCAGTTACCTTGATGAAGAAGCAGAAGATGTTTCATGGTTTATTACCACTTTACATAAGAAAGAGAACGGAAGGGAGGAGGAGGAAAGTTCAGTGAATCCATATAGTTTAATGATTTTTTGCAAGCAGGTCATTTTCTATGTCATCTCTGAAGCTCCTTGAGGAACAGTGGGACAAGTTTCAGATTTTACAGCAATCCAGACAATAATTCTCTTTTTGATTTTTCACAGTAGTGTTGACGGCCTTCTGCTCCCCTGAAGACTAGGGCAGCCATTTAATACCTGCTTAGAATGCATCCTTCTAGCTTCGTCCTGCCTTATAATACTACAGACAGCATTCCGATTTGGCATTTGAGAAGCCAGATGGGCCAGAAACAATCCATTCCCCTTTCTCTCTTCTGCATTCTGTTTGCTCCCTCCTACCTCAAGGAGTTAAGGAGCTCTGGTAGCGTAGTGGTTACGAATTGGGCTGTGAACCGCAAGGTCAGCAGTTTGAAACTACCAGGTGGTCCGTGGGAGAAAGATGAGGTGTTCTGCTCCCGTAAAGATTTATAGCCTCAGAAACCCTGTGCAGGGCTGCTATGAGTCAGAATTGACTCCATGGCACACAGCCACCACCACCTCAAGGAGTTAGTACTTTGGAGGTTGAGCATTTGAACTTAAGTTCATTTCTTTAGTGACAAGTGTAGCTTTGTGGTCCATTGAGACCAAGTCTTTGTCACCCACTTACTGCTCTATCCTTCTTATAGAATAGAATGACCTTTTTGAATGGAGGGCCACAAATAATCCCTTTTGATAATAAAATTTTGATCTTAGAGTCCTGATCATTTTTTTCTTTGCATTTCCATAAGGATTGACTAGCAGTCTTGTGAAAGGTGTTGGTGTTTTTAGAAATTAAAAAATGAATAATAATAATGACAGTTAATCTTAATTGGGTGTCCTGGTGTTGTGCTGTAGGATAAGCAGTGGACTGCTAACCACAAAGTCGGTAGCTCAAACCCACCAACTATTTCTTGGAAACCTTATATAGGATCACTATGAGTTGGAAGCGACTGGATGGCACTTAACAAACAGAAGCAAGAATCTTTACCGAAGACATACTGTGTACTGAGTAAATTAGATCCATCTAAGGCCTTTGAAAACCTTTACAAAGTAGGTACTGTTACTACATGGTGTTATGAAGTGCTATCAAGTTAGTTCCAAGCAAGATACTGCTCAGTCCTGCTCTATCCTCACAATCATTGTTATGTTTGAGACTATTGTTGTATCCATCTCATTGTTAATCTATCTCATTGAGGATCTTTCTCTTTTCGCTGACCCTCTACCGAGCATGGTATCCTTATCTACAGACCGTTCCTTCCTGATAACATGCCCAACATCCCTGAGACCAAGTCTCACCCTACTTACTTCTCACGAGCTTTCTTCTAAGGAGCCAATCTTCTTTCAAAACAGATTTGTTCAGTTTTGTGCCCGTCTGTGTATAGTTCACATTCTTTGCCAATACCATAATTCAAAGGCATCAATTCTTCTTCATTCTTCCTTATTCGTTGCCCATCTTTTGCATGCACACATAGGCTTTACAATTGCAAGTAGTTCATCGACGATTGCCTGTCTGGTAAATGTTGAACTTGGGTAATTTCTTCCACAAGTTGAGCTTTTAAATGATTTTGTGACTTCATGAATTTGCTGTTGTTTTCCCCTAGTATGTATATAAGAAGGTGCCTGTTAATAGGAATTAAATCACTAACATGTACTGAGTAAGTGTCAGGCAATATGTCAAGCACGCCAGATGAATTATTTAACACAGACAAAATGCCTATTGGGTAGATGCTGCTGTGGTTGTCATCATTTTATTGAGGAAGAATTGAAACTTAGGGAAAGTAAGCTGCTTGTTCCATGTCACAGGGTAGGTAAATGATGGAACCAGAACTCCCACCTTATTTAGAGCATTTTGGCTCTGAAAAACAAATACAATAAAAAAGCAGTTGCCATTGAGTCGATTCTGTCTCACGGGGACCGCATGTGTGTCAGAATAGAACTATAGTCTACATGGTTTTTACTAGTTGATCTTCTTGAGCTAGATTACCAAGCCTTTCTTTACAGGTGCCTCTGGGTGGGCTTTTGGTTAATAAACAACCACTTAAATGTTTCCAACAAGAGGGAACGCCAGTCTGACTCTGGTGGTGGTGGTGATGGTGATGGTGATGGTGGTGGTGGTGGTTGTGTGCCATCTTCCAACTCATAGCTAACCTATATGGGGTTTCTTAGACTGTGCATCTTTACAGGAACAGAAAGCATCATCTTTCTCCCTCAGAGCCACTAGTAGATTCAAACTGCTGACCTTGCAGTTAGCAACCTATCTTGTACTCCACTACCCTAATAGGGTTCCTAAATCAGACTCTTGTTAAGTGCATTGGAGTTGGTTCTGATTCACATCAACCGTGTATAAGGTTTCCGAGGAGTTTGAATCATTGACCTTGCAGTTCAAACCGTCCTTTTGGCCCTGTTCTTTATCCTACAGTTCAGCACTAGTACTCCATTCTGACTATGCTGCCAAATTGGTTCCAACCCTGGTGAGCTGGAACTGCCGACCTTGTGGCTCAAACTGAGTGTGCATTCTGACTGTTGTTGTTGTTAAGTGTGGTCTAGTCGGTTCCAATTCATAGTGACCCTGAATAGGGTGTCCAAGGAGCAACTGCTGAGCTTGAACCTCCAACCCAGCGCATTAACCCACAGCACCACACCAATACTGTAATTGTTGTTATTAAGTGCCATCGAGTCAGCTCTGATCTACACCAGGACTGTTATCGTTACTGTTGTAAAGTACTATCGAGTCAATTCTGACCCATAGCGGCCCTGTATAGGGTTTCCAAGGAGCAGCTGGTGATAATGAACCACTGACCTTGCAGTTCAAATGACTTTGCAGTCTGACACGTTAGTCCACAGAACCATACCAGGGCTCCACACCAGGACTGTAGAACCTACCAATTTCATTACAACTCTATAATCCTTCCATAATGTTAAAGGTCTTGTTAAGGTAGACCACTGCAAGGCTGTTGCTGGTGTTTGAGACAAGAATTAAACAGTTCTGTTGCTGTCATTGTTAAGTGCCATTGAGTCAGTTCCAACCTATAACAACCTCTTTATATGGTTTCTATGGAGAAGCTGGTGAGCTTCAACTGCTGACCTTGTGGTTCAAACCAACTTTGCAGTGCAGCGCATTAACCCACAGAGCCAGTTAATGTTTTCCTGGTTAGTTGACAGGTCAGACGCAGCAGCCAGATAAGCCCAGTGGCAGTGATTTCAGCAGGCAGCCTACAGTCCTATTGGGTTGATGGGTTTTGTCATCAGCATTTGCAACCATCTTTTGTTTTTATTACCTCACCCTGTTTGAACCATACAGCTTTTCTAATTGTTGTTGTTTTTTTCTCCCCTCTGCTTCTCTGTGCAGCTTGAGGCTTTCTATTCCATTTTCACCACGGAGCAACAAGACCACGTCAAGTCGGTGGAGTATCTCAGAAATAACTTTCGACCACAGCAGGGTCTGAATGACAGAGTGGTGTCTAAGTCCGCCGTCCGTGATGCGTGGAACCATGACATGACAGACTTCTTAGAAAACCCACTGGGGACGGAAGCCTCTAAAGGTATTTTTGGATTAAGTGTCCTTACACAGAGAAAGATTCCTTATCATAAATTACTTTAAATTAAAAGGAACTCAAAGCCAGCCAAGAATTGCTTCTTAAGGAGTTAAGAGCATCTGTTTCTTTGCTAAAAGAAACTTATCTGCAAGATAAACACAAGCAGTTGTGGGAATAACTTTAGTTAAATAAATACATTAAAAATTGGCCTTTTGACTAGTAATATATCAGTTATTCTCTTTGCATTTTTACCGTATAATGGTGGTGGTGTTAGATGCCATTGAGTAGGGTCCGACTCAGAGCGACCCTGTACACAACAGAATGAAATACAGCCCGGTCCTGCACCAACCTCACAATTGTTGTTATGTGTGAGTGAATTGTTGCTGCCCCTATGCCAGTCCGTCTTGTTGGGAGTCTTCATCATTTTGTTGACCCTCTTGTTTGCCTTGCACGATATCCTTCTCCGAGGACTGGTCCCTCCTGATTATATGTCCAAAGTATAACTATGTTGTTATTGTTAAGTGCCATCGAGTCACTGCTGACTCATAGCAACCCTGTATAGGGTTTCCATAGAGCTGATGGTGGATTTAAACCGCTGACCTTGCAGTTCAAGCCAACCTCTCCGTTCCAGTATAATATCCATGGAAACACACCAGGATTCCTGAAGTATAATTGTGTTGTTAAGTGTCTTCGAGTCAGTTTTGACTCATAACGATAATTGTATAGGGTTTCTGAGGGCCGGCTGGTAAATTTGCAGTTCAAATCAACCTTGTGCTTATCCTACAGTGCCACGCCAGGATTACCTAATTCATAACTAAAGAAATTGTTTTGCTATTTTATAAGCTCTTTAAATCTGTTGAGATCAGGAACGTGTCTTTCAGCTCAAACATTGTTGTTAGGTGCCATTGAGTAGGTACTGACCCTTATTGACCTTATGCACACAGAACAAAACACTGCCCGATCCTGGGCCAACCTCACTACTGTTGCCACGCTTGAGTCCATTGATGCTGCCACTTGGCCAACCCATTTCATTGAGTGGTCTTCCTCTTTTTCTCTGACACTCCACCTTAACAAACATGATCGCCTTCTCCAGCAACTGGTCCCTTCTGACAATATGTCCAAAGTAGGAGGGACGAAATTTGGCCATCCTGGCCTCTAAGGAGCACTCTGGCTGCACTTCTTCCAAAACAGATCTATTGGTTCTTTTGGCAGCCCATGGCACTTTCAGTATACCCCTCCAACACCATAACTCAAAGGCATCAATTCTTCTATGGTCTTCCTTATTCACTGTCCAGTTTTCGCATGCATGAGGTTATTGAAAACACCATGGCTTGGGTCAGACGCACCTTAGTCCTCAAGCTGACACCTTTGCTCTTCAACACTTAAAAAAGGTCTTGTGCAGCAAATTTGCCTAATGCAATACGTCATTTGATCTCGTGACTGCTTCTTCCGTGAATGCTGATAGTTGATCCAAGAAGAATGAAGTCCTTGACAACTTCAATCTTTTCTCCATTGAAAAGAATGTTGTTTATTGGTCCATTGGTGAGGATTTTTGTTTTCTTTACATTGAGATGTAATCCATACCAAAGGCTGTGGTCTTTGATCTTCATTAGTAAATATTTTAAGTCCTCTTCACTTTCAGCAGGCAAGGTTGTATCATCTGCATATCGCAGGTTGTTAATGAGTCTTCCTCCAATCCTGATGGCACATTTTTCTTCATAGAACCAAGCTTCATAGGTACCTTTTAATTCAAACATTGGTACCTTTTAATTGCTGCCAACACCCCAGTGTGTAGTGTTCTTGCTCACATCCAAAATAGGCCAGAATGCCAACTCCATTTTCCTGTCCCCACTCGAAATCACTTTGCCTTTTTTAAACCAAGAGTGTTATTTAAGTTTCATCCCCATATCTGATAAATATAAGTTTATAATTTCCTAGGTGCCACTTGTCTGTCAGTTTGTCATACTGTTGTAGATTGTGAGTTGCTGTGATTCTGGAAGCTATGCCATGGGTATTTTAAATACCATGAGGGTCACCCACAGTGGTCAGGTTTCAGATGAGCTTCCAGGCGAAGACAGACTAGGAAGAAGGAGAGGTGAACTACTTACAAATATTTAGTAGCTGAAAACCTTAGAATAGCCGAGAAACACTGTCAGATATAATGCCAGAAAATGAGTGCCTTGGGTTGGTAAGTACTCAAAATGTGACTGGGGACGAACTGCCTCCTCAAAGCAGAGTAAACTGTAATGACACAGATGGAGTTAAGCCCTCGGAACTTACATTTGCTGATTGGATACAACTCAAAATGAAGAGAAACAGCTATAAACATCTATTAATAATAGAAACATGAACTATACAAAGTATGAATTAGGAAAATTGGAAATTGTAAAAAATTAAATGGAATTCATAAACATCAATACCCTAGTAATTGTTGTTGTTGTTAAGCGCCGTTGAGTCGGTTCCGACACATAGCGACCCTGAACAGGGTTTCTAAGGCTGTAAATCTTTATGGGAGCAGGCCACCTCATCTTTCTCCCGTGGAGCAGCTGGTAGCTTCGAACTACTGACCTTGTGGTTTGCAGCCCGATTTGTAACCACTACGCTATCAGAGCTCCTTTTCCTAGTCATTAGTGAGGTGAAATGAACTAGTATTGGCCATTTTGAATCTGACGATCACATGGTTTAATATGCCAGGAATGACAAATGGAAGAGAAATGCTGTCACAATCATCTTTAAAAAGAACATATCAAAATCTGTCATGTGGTACAATGCTGTCTGTGATAGGATAATATCCATGCGCCTACAGGGAAGCCCAGTTAATACCGCTGTTATTAAATTTATGCTCCAACCACTAAAGCCAGTGAGGGTGAAACAGAAGAATTCTACCAACTTCTTCAATCTGAAATTGATCAAACATGCATTCAAGATATATTGATAATAACTGGTGTTGGGAATGCAAAGGTTGGAAACAAAAAGGAAGGATCAGTAGTTGGAAAATGGCCTGGGTGATAGAAATGATGCTGGAGATCACATGATAGAATTCTGCAAAACCATGATTTGTTCATTTCAAATACCTTTTTTAAGCATCATAAGAGATGACTATACGCATGGACCTCACCAGATGGAATACACAGAAATTAAATTCACTACATCTGTGGAAAGAGACACAGAAATCAAATTGACTACATCTGATGGAAAAGCTCCATATCATCAGCCAAAACAAGGCCAGAGGCAAGTTGTGGAACAGACCATCAGTTGCTCACATGCAAATTCAGCCTGAAGCTGAAGAAAATGAAAACAAGTCCACGAGAGCCAAAATATGACTTTGACTATATCCCACCTGATTTTAGAGATCATCTGATGAACAGATTTAATATATTAAGTACTAAAGATCAAAGACCAGAAGAGTTGTGGAATGACATCAAGAATATCTTACAGGAAGAAAGCAAAAAGTCATTAAGACAAAAATGAAGGAAAAGTTCAAAATGGATGTCAGAAAAGACTCTGCAACTTGCTCTCCAGCATACAGCCGCAAAAGCAAATGAAAGAAATGAGGAGGTACAAGAGCTGAACAGAAATTTTCAAAGGTCATCTCGAGAAGACAGAGTCAAATAATACAACAAAGTGTGCAACAATCTGGAGTTAGAAAACCAAAAAGGAAGAACATGTTCAGAATTTCTCCAGTTGAGGGAACTGAAGAAAAAATTTTGGTCTCAGCTTTTGTTAGTGAAGGATTCTCTGGGCAAATTATTAAATAATTCAGAGAGCATCAAAAGATGGAAGGGATACACAAAATCCTGTACCAAAAGGATGTGGTTGATCTTCAACCATTTCAAGAGGTAGCATATGATCAAGAGCCAGTGATACTGAAGGAAGAAGGCCAAAGTGCATTGAAGGAATTGGCAAAGAACAAGGCACCAGGAATTCATGGAATAAAAATTGAAATCTTTCAGGAAAGTGAGGTGGCACTGGAGGCACTCACTCATCTATGCCAAAAAATTTGGAAGACAGCTATCTGGCCAACTGACTGGAAGAGATCCATATTTGTGCCCTATCCAAAGAGAGGTGACCCAACATAATGCAGAAATCATCAGACAATATCTTTCATATCCCATGTGAGTAAAGTTTTACTAAAGATAATTCAGAAATGGCTGCAAGCATACATTGACAGAGAACTTCCAGAGGTTCAAGCCGGATTCAGAAGAGGATGTGGAACAAGGGATATCATGATGTCCAATGGATCTTGGCTGAAAGAAGAGAATATCAGAAAGATGTTTACCTGTGCTTTATTAACTACGCAAAGGTTTTCAGTTGTGTGGATCATCACAAGCTATGGACAATATTGAGAAGTATGAGTATTCCAGAACTCTTAATTGTGCTCATGAGGAACCTGTACATGGATCAAGAGGCGGTTGTTCGAACAGAATATGAGAACACTGAATAGTTTAAAATTAGGAAAGGTGTGCAACTGGATTGTATTCTTTCACCATACTTATTCAGCCTGTATACTGAGCAAATAATTTGAGAAACTGGGTTATATGAAGAAAAACATGGCATCAAGATTGGAGGAACACTCATTAGCAACCTGCGAGATGCAGATGATACAACCTTGCTTGCTATAAGTGATAAAGATCAATGACTGCAGCCTTCGGTATGTATTGCATCTCAATGTAAAGAAAACAAAAATCCTCACCAATAAACAACATTCTTATCAACAGAGAAAAGATTGAAGTTGTCGAAGACTTCGTTTTTCTTTGATCAACCATCAACACACATGGAAGCAGCAGTCAAGAAATCAAATGCTGTATTGCATTAGGCAGATCAGCACAAGACCTTTTTAAAAAGTGTTGAACAGCAAAGATGTCAGCTTGAGGACTAAGGTGCACCTGACCCAAGCCATGGTATTTTCAATATCCTCATATACATGCGAAAGCTGGGCAGTGAATAAGGAAGACAGTAGAAGAATTGCTGCATCTGAGTTATGGTGTTGGAGGAGAATATTCAAA